GAGGTCCTGTCCCTCCCAGGACCCTGGTTTCTGCCTCGAAGTTTATGAACCCGGTGCCGCACCTTCCCTGGGCCGACTGTCCAGAATGTCAGCGCTAACCCAGCATTCTCCTGGGCCTGTGCTGAGCCCGAAGGCTCACGTCTCGGTTTCGAAGTTTATGAACCCGGTGCTGCACCTTCCCTGGGCCGACTGTCCAGAATGTCAGCGCTAACCCAGCATTGTCCTGGGCCTGTGCTGAGCCCGAGGGCTCACGTCTCGGTTTCGAAGTTTATGAACCCGGTGCCGCACCTTCCCTGGGCCGACTGTCCAGAATGTCAGCGCTAACCCAGCATTGTCCTGGGCCTGTGCTGAGCCTGAGGGCTCACGTCTCGGTTTCGAAGTTTATGAACCCGGTGCCGCACCTTCCCTGGGCCGACTGTCCAGAATGTCAGCGCTAACCCAGCATTGTCCTGGGCCTGTGCTGAGCCCGAGGGCTCACGTCTCGGTTTCGGGGAGCCTACGCTGGCTGACGTCGGCCTGCGGCGGACGGAGCAGCAAACTCCGGCAGCCTCTGTGCCCTGAGACACGCTTCCGCCGGGCGCGCTCAGTCGTCTCTGGAAGTGGGGACCCCTCCTCGCCGAAGGTCACGTGCAGATGCTCTGTTAGCCGGCTGAGTGCAGGCCGTCCAAGGCTGAGGTCTGTGGCTGACCCAGGGCTGAGGGCAGGCATGGGCCGTGCACACAGCTGTGAGAAGTGCGTCCTCAGGAGCTCGGGCTTTATTCTAAGGGAGATGGGGAATCATTTACTTATTTACTTTAATGAGATGTATTCTCTCTCTCTTTAAAATGTTTTTATTGATTCTGTTTAGAGAGAGAGGAAGGGAGAGAGAAACATCGATGAGAGAGAAACATCGATCGGCGCCTCCTGCAGCCCCCAGCCCGGCCTGTGCCCTGACCCGGAGTCCAACGGGACCTCGCGGTCCATGGGACGACGTTTAATCCGCAGAGCCACACCAGCCGGGCCAGACGGGGGATCACTTACATGGGGTGGACATGGTGTGCTTGATGTTTTTTTAAAAGTCACCCTTCGTCCGGCCGGTGTAGCTCAGGGGTTGAGCGTCAACCCTGCAGCGAGAGGTCGCCGGTTCGATTCCCGGTTGGGGCACATGCCCAGGTGGTGGGCTGATCCCCAGTGGGGGGCGTGCAGGAGGCGGCCAGTCCATGTCCTCTCTCATCGATGTTTCTCTCTCTCCCTCTCCTCCTTCCTTCCTCTCTAAAATAAAATTAAAAATAAAAATTTTTTTTAAATTTAAAGCCACCCTGGCTGCGTGGAGAAAACCACAGGGGCAGGAATGGAAGGGGGACTAGAGGCTCTCGTCGTAGTCCCGGGACTGGACCCGAGTGCCGAGGAAGGTGTGAGGAGGAGATCAGGACACCGAGTGGAGGCTCTGGGGGGGCTCTGGGGGAGGCGGGGGGGGGCAGAGGGGGCGCCGGCGCCCATGGCACTCCCGCCGCTGCAGGGCTGCCCAGTCCTTCCGACGCCTGCCCTGGGCCAGGGCCTCCGCTGCCCCGACGACCCCGGGTTCATGGGACACTCGGGAGGGACAGGTCTAGGGGAAGTCATGCCACCTGCGCACTAGGACACTTTCCGGTTGATGTCGCTGGAGTTCCCCTGAAACATCGTCCAGTGAGCATAATGCAAACAGTCCAGACAGACGGCAGCCTGGTCCCCGCCCGCGCACAGCTGCTGAAGCGCCGGGCCGCCAGCAGAGGGCAGTCTTAGGGGCCCGGTTCCGGCCTGGCGCCGCGGACCCTCGACCCCTGGACCCCTGGGCGGGGTGACGCTTCTCCCAGGGCGCCGGTGCTCGGCGGCGTCCCTGGCTCCCCAGACGCCAGCAGCACCCACCCCCGGAGCGAACAGCACAGGCTCCAGGTGCCAGCAGTGCCCGGGGGAGCCAGACTGCCCGTCGAGGCCGGTGGTGCGCGTAGGGACGGAGCCGCCTTAGCCCTGGCCGCGCCCTGGCCGGGCTCCCGCGCAGACCGCGCTTCTGAGGCCGCCGAGGTGGAGGCGGAGTCGCGGTCGATGCCTTGGGTTTGTCTGTGAGCTCACCCATACCTGTGCGACCGGCGTGGTTTCGAGGGGCTCCAGTGACCGGGTCCCCAGCTGTCCTGTACCTGAGGCTCCTCTTCACTTCCAGGTGTTTTAATGGGAAAGAACCTGCGTTCTGCTTTCGGTCTTGCTTTTCGTCAGTATGTGCTTGTCCAGTTTCTGTTTCTCACCTACATGTCCTTTGATCAAATTCTGGCAGTATTAAAAGTGTTCTTAATACAGTTGACCCAGTTTCAAATGAAACCAGAAGTATTTTAGCCACAGTTCAAGGGCTGCTGAGCATTTAGTTAAGTCACATCCTCACCCTCAGTGCAGCGGGCAGGTTCAGTGGCCACCGCGGTCCCCTCTGCGGCACGCAGGCCGCGGGGACAGGCACACGGCTGAGTGCGCCCCGGTGCCCTCTGGGCCCGTCTCCCGGGCGGAGGCTGACCAAGGGGCTCCGCGTGCACAGGGCCACACTCTGCTCCAGCGTCACTGTCCCAGCAGGCCCGGGGCAGTGTGCCGGTGTCTGTTTTCCTGGAGACGCTGGAACATAGGTGGTGAGCACCTTCCTGAGCTTACGTAGGTGTTGCACAGAACGACGGGGTGAGGACTCGGGGCACTCGGACCCGTGCTCTGCCGTCCACCAGAGCCCCGCCATCAGGGTTAGTTCCCTGCGGGCGCCGGGCTTCAGCGTGGTCCATGCCCGCAGACGGCACCTTTGAATCTCGACCTGTCATCCTCAAAAGAGTGCTGTGGCTAGAAAATGAGGAAGCTCAGTGTAGACCCATCACTGGGAACAGTTCAGAGGATCTGGGGGCTCTGCAGCTTCGATCCCACACCTCAGGCTAAGCGAATAATAGCTGTATTTCTTTCCTATTGCTGTGGGAGTCATGACTACAAACGCAGTGGCTGAAAACAGCACAGATGTCTAACCTCACGGTTCTGCGGGTTAGAAGTGAGCACAGGTCTCACTGGGCCAACCCGAGATGTGAGCATGGCTGCTACATGTTTTTCTGGGGGCTCTACAGGAGGATCTGTTTCCCTGCTTCTAGAGGCCGTCACGTTCTTTGGTTTGTGACCCTCCTCCTCCCCATCTTCAAAGCCAGCAGCGCTGCGTCCCGACCACTCATCAGTCACATTTCCCTGGTTGAAGGTCCTGCACCGGCCAGCTGCAGAGTGCAGGCTGCCCTCCGCCTGCCTGGGGCCTAGAGCGGGCTCGTCTGTCCGTCCAGGCGCATCGACAGGCACGAGACTGACAGCCTGACCGTAGGGGAGCTCGGCCGTGATTGTCCATGTGCTCAGGTGGCCCTCAGTCCATGGGAATGGACCCGCTGTATCATCCGACATAGAAACACTGCGCTCCTTTATTTATTTAAATATTTTCCTTCACTGATTTTAGAGAGAGGAAGGGAGAGGGAGGGATGGAAACATCGATGAGAGAGAACATCGACTGGCCGCTTCCTGCACGCCCCCCACTGGGGTTCAGGCCCACAACCTGACTGGCAACCTCTTGGTGCTCAACCACTGAGCCACCCCGGCCGGGGAGTGCTTTAGTATTTTCATAGTTTGAGATGGTCTAATCAGCCCCACCGAATTCTACACGCACGGTTCTAACACAGAACCTAGTATTTGTTATGGGATGTATATGATACTGAACAAAAACTAGTAATTTTCATTGAAACTTTATGACTCCTCCTAAATATGTTTTTTTAAATGACTGAAGGATGGCCCAGCCGTGTGGCTTAGTGGATTGAACGTTGTCTCGTGGACTGAAAGGTCCCAGTTCGATTCCCAGTCAGGACACATGCCCGGGTTGTGGGCTCCATCGCTCTATTCCCAGGGAGGGGCATGCAGGCGGCAGCCTATTGATGTTTCTCTCTCACGTCAAGTGTTTCTGCCTTTCCCTTCCTTTCCCTCTAAAATATCAATTAAAACGTATATATATTAAATAAGTAAATAAATAACCAACCGACTGAAGGTTGTCAGTGGGATTCTTTGGATGGGACGGACATTCTTTTCCTGGTGTGTCGTGTCCGTCCAGCCTTGCTGTCCAGACGTGGGCTCTGGCTTTCTTTTTAACGTGTGAGAGATGGGCACTGAATTTAACTGTTGTTTGTTCCCCGAGAGTTTTATAAGTTTTTACCTAACATGTTCATTACTTAGAAAACAGTGGTCACAGCCACTACACAGGAAGCCACTACTGACTCAAGAGGTATGTGCCCTGCGATGTAAGACGGCTCCTTAAAAACAGAGCTATGACTTAATACACGTTCCTGATTCAAGGTGATGACTCCACCAAGAAGACATTTAAAAGGCAGTGATGTTAATTAGCCCCATCGATTGAACACTGTGCCTGCCCCGTTGCTCACATCTCCTGGCTTCATCCCGCCAGCCCTGCACGGTGGGCAGACCCGTGTCCCAGATAAAGAAGGGACGCCAGAGCTAAGGGACGCGGCACAGCCTGCGGGTGCGGCCGAGGCCTGAAGCCCAGTGTCTCATTCCGAATGTTTCTAGTCACTGCTCCATTTTTTAAAAATTGAGTATGTTCTAACATGTTTCCATTTTTACTTAAAAAAAAAAAAAAACTTCAAGAAATCTAGTGAAATGTTGTCGTCTCTGGCATAAAACATTTCAGAACTGCTTTTGAATAGTTATATAAAACACTAATGCAGTCATTATTTTTATAAAACTTTTGCGAAGGTAATTGGTAAACAAATGTGACATCTTTTGATTTATTTTAGGTAAAAGGTTAATTATTTAAAGCTTCAGCTGAAGTTGAAGCGGGTCCCTTGATCTGACAAAAACCCAGAGGTTTTGCTGCAGGAGATGAGGAGGCATTTGAAACACAGGAAGACCAAACTTGAGAAGCGAGAAGTTAGAGTACTTCTCTACATCTTTTAATACAGTTGATTTCCTGTCTTCTTTCCCAGGAGACGAATACGACGTGTGCGCCATCTGTCTGGATGAGTACGAGGATGGAGACAAGCTCCGACTCCTCCCCTGCTCCCATGGTACGAGCTGCTGCTGCGAACCCTGGTTTACGTGTAGCTCAGTGCGAGGAGGGAGGCAGACCACAGTGATTAGCACAGCCTGGGCCAGGCCCTGTGCTCGCCACTGGTGTCATTAAAAGGTGGAGGTATATTTATAAAACTTTACAGACTTTTCTTTTGTCCCGGTATGATGCATATAGACGGTAAAAATTTAAGTGTTCACAACCACAGTATACTTCCTAAAGATGTGTATTTTGCTTCGACAGCTTACCATTGCAAGTGTGTAGACCCTTGGCTAACTAAGACCAAAAAAACCTGTCCTGTCTGCAAGCAAAAAGTCGTTTCTTCTGAAGGTGACTCAGACTCGGACACAGACAGCAGCCAAGAAAACGAGGTGTCAGAACACACCCCTTTGCTCAGACCTTTGGCTTCTGTCAGCACCCAGTCGTTCGGGGCGCTGTCGGAATCCCGCTCGCACCAGAACCTGACGGAGTCGTCCGACTACGAGGACGACGACAACGAGGACGCCGACAGCAGCGACGCCGAGGACGACGCGCGCACGCGCAGTGTGGTGGTCCAGCTGCAGCCCAGCGAGGACTACAGCGTCGCGAACACCGTCTGACCCACCGGGCGCGACGTCACTCCCCTGTAAAATGTTTGTTCGGGTGTGCAAGTTGATTTCTTTGCTCCCTTCACAGGTTTCTGTAGAAATAACTTATTTTTTAGCACTCTACAGTGTAATCTCACTGAAAGCTTTCTGTCGATCTAGATTTATCTGCAGGAGTGTACTTCACTTTGCGGGTGGTAGTCAGAGGCTGCTGTTCCTCCGCACCCAACCCCTTCCCTCCAGAAACAGCCAGACAGCTCAGGGTGCAGACCCGCGTGCACAGCCGGGTCAGCGCTGGGACTGGCTCCAGGCTCCTGGGTGGCTGAGGGGGTGTCCCTTCTGGTGCCACCACGGTGCCAGCGTCAGGCGACAGGCATTTCCCTGCTGCACCGCCAAGTCAAAGCTGCCTTTTTCCTTTCTATCCCCAAGTAGTCTTGTCCTGAAAGGAACAGTCTAGACTGGTGCAGATTTCCACGTTTAAGGTGTTTTTTTTAAAATCCTCACCGGAGGATACTTTTTTCCATTTTTATCTTCAGATAGAGGTGGGGGGGGGGGGGACATCAACATGAGAGAGACACATCAATTGGTTGCCTCATGCACGACCCAACCAGGGCCATGGACTGAACCGCAACCAAGGTACGTGCCCTTGACCGGACTTGAACACGTGACTCTGGTCCGCGGCCCACACGCTAACCGCTGAGCCGAACCAGCCAGGGCTCAAGTTTTAAGGTTTTTAATACCCTACTGTTATGTATGAACTCGACTCATCAGCTAAAGTATTATGTCACTGGACTTAACTTACTGAATTCAGTATCCTTAAGGGTTTTGTGTTGTGATCAAAGCAAAAAGTAAATGCTGTACAAAAATACCTAACTTCAGCAACTGTTAACTCGCAGATCATATACCTCTCAATAAAGAGCATCTTATGCTGATTAGCCCTGCTAAACTATGTACAAAGGAAATTGTTCAAGTACTGGATTTGAAAATAATTGCTTATGTTTAACAGAACTAATGATGTATATAAACAATGTATTATGAAAAGCTAAATTATATTATACATCATTGTAACTATGTAGAAAATACAGACTTATATATAATCAAAATACTAAGGTTTTTATATGGCCTGTATGAAGGGAGTTCGAATGTTAATAAACGTTTTCCAATTTAAGAACTTCGTTGTGTTGCCGGCATCAGCTTATTTTCATGTGCAGTGTTGTAAAGGCATCAGGGTACGAGATAAACACGCGTCGCCTGAGGACTTTTAAGAGGAAAATGATGGCTCACAAGCAGTTAGGTCCTTCCCGCAACAAGGTAAAACTGCCGCCCAACTCTCCACCAACAGTGGGCATCTCGGTACCGTTGTAATTACTGTGCATCTTTACAGCAGACTGCGCACAGCCTTGAAGGATAAAGGAAATACCCCGATAGATCTGCGCGGGCACGGGAATTGTCGGGGAACAAAAGCTCAGTAAAGAGTAACAACCAGCCTGGCTGGCGCGGCTCAGTGGCTGAGCGTCGACTTGTTCCATTCCCGGTCAGGACACGTGCCCAGGGTGTGGGCCGGGTCCCCAGTGGGGGCGTGCAGGAGGCAGCCAATTGATGTTCTCTCTCATCGATGTTTCTGTCTCTCCCTCCCCCTTCCTCTCTCTCAAAGCAATAAAGAAAAAAAATTTTTTTAAAAAAGTAATAACCATACTAGGGTACTAGGTACATGAACCTTTGTTATTAAAAAAAAAAAGAAAAATAATACATTTTAAAAGAAATTTAACACTATTAGGGGGAATTGCACTTTCTGAATTGCTTTTTAGAAAAATTTGTGTAATTAACCAAAAAATAGTTATTTCTGCTTATGAAAATAAAACCCTGAATTCAGCATCTCCTGTCTGATAGTACCTCGTTTCTCAAGATAAGGCACAGGCATGAGACTAGAACATTAGTTACTAGGCTAGTTAGCAGAGTTGGAATTTGATCATTTGTATAATTTCATTTAAGCTGTTGGGTGTGAAGACAAAACATGGAACTCAGTGCCTGGCACATAAACACACAAGTAATAGCTTTTATAGTTCCAGAACAATTTCTTTTATACGGAAAAATGAAGTCACTGTAACATGTATTATATACTGTGTTCCCTCAGTTCTTAATCCGTAAGGACCTGGTTCCTTTAAATTCAAGTTAATTTTTCTGAAGTAAAAATTACTTTTTTTAAAACTCTTCCTTTTAGTTGTAAAATTTATCAGGTGTTTTAATTACTAATTCTAATATTCAATTGAAGTCTTTTATAAAGTCTTCATAGTATAGCTATACAAATTTTAAAACAGGACATTAAATTAAAATCTGATTTCTATTCAATACCTTATTAAAATTTTTTCTGATTTATATCCTCATATTTAACATTCGTTGGTGAGCACTTTCTCGTGTCATTCTTCAATGACTATTTTATCCTTTGGACAATCATTTATGTAACCCAGAACCCTGAAAGTTGAACTCCGTGGTTCTCCGAGTTTAGTTATTACAAGTCACACTATGGAAGGGTATTCTGGTACATGAATCTGCAGCTCCCTTTTCTCAGGTGGGGTTCCTGGCACTGGGTGCAAGCAGAGCTGCAGCGTGTTTTCCGAGGTGTGTTTCCAGTGCGGTGCACGGGGGCCAATGGCTGGTTTCATGATCTACTGATGACACAGATGCCCACTACCACCTACTCACCTGCTGACTGACACCCCAACACACCTGTCATCACCCGCAGGCTCGTGCATTCGGGGTTTCAGTTCTGGTTGCTGCTTTCTCACTAATGACCCTAACAATTCTTCACAACTGAAGTGTGAATGTATTTTACCACGAATCATCCAGTCATGGCAGCCCAATCGACCAAACTTCATCTGACCACCCTCCTGTTCCTAACAGGCCACGAGGTTGGTTTTGGTTCTTATTTTACAATTTCTATGCCCACCCAACTGCCAAAGCCGCCCCAGATCCCTGTATTTCAAGGCGGTGTCTCTGTACAAACCCAGGACTGCCTGACAGCACCTCAAAGAGAAAGCTGTTAGTCTTGCGCAGTACATGTGAGTAAGAAAGATGCTCATTCCGACAGCGCTCCTCAGACGGGAGCACACAGGCGCTCGAGTGGTTCAGGCGGACCCGCCGGTGGTTTCGCAAGGATCTTCCTGGCTTGTGAATCTCCCCATCCTCACTCTGGAGCCCAGGTTATAACCAGCCCCCGTTTCACTTAGACCCAGCAACTTTTTTTTAAAAAATTTTATCCTCATCCGAGGACATTTTTCAATATGGACATTTTTTGTTCAGATAGAGTGGGAGGGAGGGGGAGAAAGAGAGAGAGAGAGACATCGACATGAAAGGGACACATAGAGTGGTCGCCACCCACACGACCAACCAGGGCCGGGGACAAACTGCAACCGAGGTACATGCCCTTAGCGGGAACCGAACCCGGGTCTCTCTGTACCGCAGGCCGACGCTCTAACCGCTGAGCCAAACCAGCCGGGGAGACCCCTCCAACTTTTAAACACCTCTTCTCTGAGCGTCTGCTTGCTAGTTCCTGCTCACGATTTACCGAAATATCATTAAACGAACATATTTACTCAACTTCGATCTACCTGCAGGGTCTCGGCCTCCGGGACGGAACCTGACTTCCACAGCTGGCGATGCCACGTCCCTCCAAGGCCGGAGACTGCACGCAGCCCAGTGGTCGCCGGCGCTGTCTCAGGAAGGGCTTCTCCTCCCGAGTCCCAGCGGGCTGCCTGCCCTCGGCCTGCAACGCCGCCTCCAGCCCAGAGGCCCCGGGACAGTCCGACACAGGCACCCAGCGCACACACCCCCGGCGTGGGGCCTCGCTGCCCACTACATCCACACCCAGGGGCCAGCCGCAGAGGAAATACTCAGTGTCTAGGAGCTAGATTAATTTTCCTCTCCTAAGCCTGAAGATGAGCCTGAGATGACTAAAAGCCATTTTAATAGATCAAAGACCATTAAAAAGATATTCCCGGGCATTCATTTTATTTATAGTAAATACTACAGGAAGTAGAGTAGGCCATCAACTGAATTTTCAAGAAAGATTTTATGCTTGTAGCAGTTTTTGGCCTATTCTGTATATTCCCAGTATGTCAAAAATCAACTGTATCAAATCAGTAAGCCAACAATCTACATAAACAACAGGAGTCTAGAGTATTTGGTTGGAATAAATTTATTTCATCTGTCTGTAAACAAGGTGTTTAATAGTTATGGCATTTTTTTAAATGCATATTAAATCAGATGAGTTAGACTGTATCCCAGATGTAACAAAGTGCAGGGGAAGAAATGGACAAATCAGCAACAAGATTTGTTTTTAAATCTGTACATTATCCACAAGGCCCAAACAATAGAAGCAAATACTAGAATGTCCCTAAAGTAGTGCCATTCAAAAGAAACCTTGTATAGGTCAGTTAAAATCCATCTCACAATAGCAACAGTTCATTTTAACAATAGTATGGCACGGATACATATGAAAAAAATTCATCACAAGACAGCCAAGTCCACAATAATGCAACTTCATATAAAAACTTAAGCTGCAAATAAAAATTGGTCCTATGAAGAACAAACTGGACACACTCCAGATGGTTATGCTGGGACACCTGATGTCCATAACGGCAGCCTTTTACAACTGTACTGAGAGTGGAGCTGGTGCGCAAAGGGAAGATGGGAACAGAAACGTGAGCTGTCGCAGTGATGGAGTGAATGTCCCTGGGGATCCGCTCAGTGCGGCTGCTGGAGGGCCTGGGAGGAAGAGCCTTCGCTCTCGTTTTGCAGCTGCACTCGCCATGCGTCCTGCAGACACTGCCAAAGGGTCGTCTACTCAAGTGCAACAGCAATACTACAAGCAAACTACTGCAGCTCTCAACAGCTCGTCAACAAAAGGGATCAGGAATTGGTCAAATAAACCAGGCATTGCATAAAGTAAGATGGAAGCAAACCAAACGTCCCGTGTGCAAAGGGAGGGGGAGAAAAGGAGTGAAGGGAAGATCCATGCACTTTCCCTCCCAACCATGCGCTAGGAAAAGGAAGACTAGATGAGCTAAGTAAATGCTCAAAGTGCTGAAGACACTGATCAAATTAGAGATTGTACACCGGCACCTTGCTTATATTAACTTATTTTAGTAATCAATATCCATTAATTGCTAAAACAAAGTGATGCCCAACTTGGCATGCCCCCTCCCCCCAAATTTCAAGGTATCATGCAAATCATTATTGTGCTGCAATTATGTTGCCAGATAAGGGTTGATTACATACAGTGGCTAACATACAAATGATCCATTGGGCAAACAGGAATCGTGACATTAGAAAATCGGTAAAGAAAAAGGAGCTACCATGCAGTCTGGCAGCCCTGTGACCATAACTGGGTGCTGATGAAGACAGTTGCTAGGTAGATGGGCAGAGGCTGCTTACACATCAGACCTCCTCAGGTATAAAGCGAGTTCATACGCTTTCTTGTTCAGTGTGCCTCCGTGGACACCTTCCT